GCTTATTTCAAAATGAGAGACATATTTGGAACAAGGGTTCTAATGATTGCCGTGAATGATATTTTTAAAACTCTTTATTTGATTCTATATGTTTTGGGTAGAAAGCGCCAAATAAATGACGTTTTGGGGGGTTCTTTATTAATTATGCTTTCCAGGCTGATTCCAAGAACGATATGATCTTGACAAGAGATTATAAACTGTTTATATTATCTTGAAATTGATTAGTCGCCGGTATATCTTTAACAATTATTCCACAAGCGCGCGTTGGATACGAGAAGATAGATAGCCAACGAGGCGCGTAGCGCCGAGTTGGCTATAATCATCTCATATCCAACAAGCGCGAGTGGAATAATTGTTTTATCAAAAACGTTAAATTAAATTATTAAATTTTGTTAAATTTTTAGCTCTCTTTTAATTTTAAGCTGACACGTACGCTTACCATATTTGTAGATTATGGTATATTGGCTGATATACCATAATGGCTAAGCCAATAAAAAGTCTTTAATTGCATTATCCAATGATCTAGTTTTTAATAAATCTTATTAAACGTTTTGTTGTGTAGTATCGCTGAGTATTTTTATGAGTTGTGCCGTATTTTGACGAGCCCGTAGGGCGAGTCAAAATACAAATAACGAGTAAAAATACTCAGCGGTACTACACAACAAAACGTCTAATAAGTTATTTATTATCCAACACGCCTAACTGTTATTTCAGTGCGGGCGAATTTCGCGCATATTTATTTACGGGGAGTGCGTGACAGAAGTATGCGAAGCGGAACGGAATTGGCGCGTTGTTGTGTCGTTGTTTCCATTTTCTTCATTAAATGAAGAAATTTTCTGGTCGTCAAACTGTTTTTCTTCGTTCGATTCATCTAATGAACTGGGATCTATATTTGCCAGTCATTCTGACTCTTCGTCGTCGGAAATATGATTCAAATTGCCCGCCATTTGTTTTTTTTTTTCGTAACTACAATCCAATTCTTCGCTTGCGCGATGCGAGAAAACCTGTTTAACCGGTACTCTACAATAGACGAGTACAAATACCGCGTGATATTTGTACTCGTCTATGGCGTTATTTGTACTCGTCTAGGTGTAGTTGGATAATAATGGGCAGTTAGTTCRTATGGAAAAATTGTTAGCAACAGGATAAATTTAATAAGCTATCGTTATCAAAAGAAAAAAAGAACTGCCATTTCATACCATTGTCTGGTTGATCGGTGACAAATCCAAGGTGTTTAATTTCTAGATCTGGTTCTTCCTGCTCCCTGCATGTTTTAGAAATCCTGTCGATTTCATTTTTCAGGGTATCAATTTGCTCTTGCTGAAATTCAATTTCAGCTGTTTTCAAAGAAGACAATACAGCTGCTACCTCACTTTCTTTCGGTTTCATATAGACGAAAGAATCTGAGTTCCTTCTATTTCTTTGACTGGCACTACCATTCACCTCGTTGATAAAAACTGGGAATCAAAATGAAAATAATAATAATAATAATAATAATAATAATAATAATAATAATAATAACAATAAAAAAAGATCAAACATCATACGCCCGCAGAGGCTCTTGTTTTTCTCTCACGAATTTGGCTCCAATCATGACCAAAGTCTTGGGACAAAGTCATAATAATTTAGCCTGCATCGTTTTTACAATTCTCACATTTTTCCAAATTGTTTGGGGAGAGGAGGACACTTGACGCGCCGTTGCTCGTAATACACACGGCTGCTACATTTGTTTTCTGGGTATCCGTGGTACTTTAATTCATTGTTATACATGAAATGCAGTTAATGTTAATGGAGCAGGCTTTTACGTATGTCATCCTACAAGAGAGGGAGTGGCCGGGACCCTTAAACGATACATTCCTGTAAAAGAAGCAGAGGAAAGGAAGATAGGAAAATCTTTTTTTTTTTTTTATGTTTGAGTGTTTTGAGGAATACCTCTATATCTTCTTTAAACACCGCAAATTGTTCGGTAGAGTAGTAATCAGTGTCCTGGAAACCAATGAAATTATAGCCTGTGTCTACAGCCGCCCTCTACCCTCCAAAATAAAATCGGTTTTCTCTTTGAGGGTTAGACAACGAAATTACAATCCCCATAACGATTTACCTCGCTCCTCCATCACGAAATCCAAACAAGCGTCTTGATATTCCTGCTCATCAATGTATACAGTCACAATTACTTCATCACCATCTGCCAGTTGTCTTATTTCGTCTGACACCAAAAACGCTTGTAGCCTTGTCTGCAGTATTTTGGTCTGGTACTGTTGCCATAGCAACTGAAGGGCTGCTCTATTTTCTGCCTGGACTGTAAAGCATAAGGAACCATTTCCTATCGCTCTCAGGCTGGTGGCTGCTGGAAGGATTGCTCCGTTAAAAAAATGTGCAAACTGTTGGATATCGTTGTCGCCCCTGGAGTATTTGTAAAGGACAACACCAGCACCAACTGCCACTACCACACCGCCGACGGTCTTAAAGTTACAGTGAACATTTACAGCTGTTCGAGGGATAACAAATCAAGTTGATAATCAGTTGAACTTTTCTGCGTACTGAGTCAGAAATGAGTTGTGTTTGTCTGATAATCATGAATTTATTTTTTACATGAATGCAGCCTGATTAAATTTTCAAACCTGCATCAGCAGGAATTGGGGGAAAAATTGTATCATTACTCACAAGAAAACTCTCTCTAATGAGAAAAGAAAAGGTTTATGCGTTTGATATGTACTTTCAAGTTGCAACGTTTTCTAAAACAGGTACATATATATTTCCCTTGCTGAGAGAGGAGCATGGGTTCATTTCGCAAACAGCAGCTAGCTGTGGAGCACAAAACGTGATCCACTAAGAGGCTGTTTATTTCTTTAATGGCCACTTACCTCCCATTAGTCTTCCAACCGCCCTGGGCACAGCATAAACAGCTGCAGCACGAGCTGAAATTAGAAGTGTGATTCTGCCATTAATAGAAAAAGAAAGCCATAAAATTGAACAAGAGTCAGGGTCCAATAGCATTAGCAAGCTTCGTTACTGAGGAAACTAATAAAAACAATAAAGTAATGCAGTCGTCAAAAACAACAGTGGAGGTAGGGCAAAAATAAGCTCTTCTGGGCATCCCGAACAAATTGCTTAATCATTCTACGAGAAACTGGTCGCATCATGCCGCCAGACTACAAAAGGTCGTGAGCAGAAGAAAGCTCACATTCATACAAAGAATGTTTGACCTAACGCTATTTTGCTTTTCATCAGGGACCCGATAGAACAACGTTATTGAGCAGGAGACCTGATTCGCTTTGTATGACAGAAGAACTGCCATAAGACACTTTGCACCGATATGTCGTCATTTTGACCATGTTTATATGCCTAACTCGTGGCCGGAGACATAACCATGTTACTCTTCAGCGAAGACCAGTATGGTGGCCGAGAACTGCCAATAAAAAAAAATCACAAATGTTTGGGTAAGAAGTGTTAGTTTGACTGAGAAATAAAACAAAACAAAATAAAACATGAAGTATAATTAAATTAAATTTAAAAGTAAAATGATATGAAATTTAAAAGTACATTGAATTTCAAAAATAAAACCGCATTACTTTTAAGTTAAACTATAATGGAAATACAATTCAAAGTGAAACATAAAATCAATTTCAAATGAAATTCAAAGTGCCAGTGAATTTCACCGTGGCCGAGCGCTGCCAGTACCATCATTCTACGCGCGCTTGCAAAACTCTGCGCCTGCGATTCTATTATGGCGGAGTGGACGCAGTTCGCAAACAAGCAGCGTCAAAAAAGAATTGCTGAGAGGAAACGACCAGCACGGGAATCTGTAGAGGCGAAAGATAAAATAATGGTGCAGAGGATGAGTTCGGAAGTAACTGGAAAACAGCAAAAGTACACCAGGATTAGGCCAAGAGAATTCGTCTCATTCGAATTTGATGAAATAACTTTCGACAACATAGTAGAAGCTTGCCAGAAGCACTTTGCTTCCCAGATCGATAAAGATAGGTTTGCGACATCTTAGCTGGTGAACGTGGGCCTTCTTGTAAGAAGATGTGCCAAATTCCAGACCACAAAGTATTCTATGTACGTTTTATAAAAAGGTCAGATGGCGAAGTATCAAATGATCAGGATGAGGAAGAGCACGGGCAAGAGACGCATAAGGTATGTGACTACACTTAAGAGCTTAACGCTGATGCATTGAAAGATATGATGAGCTTGGGTTTGGCACTATTGGTTTTACCCGCCCGAAATGAAGGGGTGGGGGGCGTGACCTTTGTTTTAGGAGGAATGGTGGGATGAATATAAAATGAGATGAATATAAAATGGTATACCACCTTTGATCTGTTTGTAAAAAATTGATGTCTCTACATTGTGGCATTTACACATGTACTCTTTTCTAAACCCTTTTGTGGAGATATTGTATGTGGCAAGCTGATATTTTACTCATTTACAAATTTCTAAACATTGGTGGGGGAGAAGGTAAAAAATGAATATGCTTGCATTTGTGGAGAGCCATTCATAATAATTTTGTTCTTTCTGACTTTTGCTTAAGACCAAAAAAACAAGGTTTGATGAAAATCCAAGGAAAAAGGCTGTGTCAGAACCAAGCCCTTAAAAAGTTTGCTCAAGTAAATTTTACCCCAAGAGATATATCCAGGATATGCTAAAACCAGGGAAAGTCATCTCCAAGAAAAGTTCCACTGTCATTAGCATCTATAAGTTTGATTTTGAACACATGCAATGGTCCAATGTACCAGTGGAGGCAGAATTCTTGGTAGCTGAGATACCATTTACTTCTGGTGGATTCCGAGAAGCTTTCAAGGCCACTAGCATAACAGATGGACTCAAAGAAGTGACATGGGTCATCAAGAAGTACCTCAAGAGTGCCTTGGAAATAATTAAAGCAACACAAGAAACTGAAGAAAGTCACATGAAGAAGTCAGTCCAAATGCATTATTTGGCCCGCAATTTTGCATCACAACTGAAGGAACAAATTGAAAAAGAGCACCTGATGGAGTTTGGCCCAACATTTGAATATAAAAAGGTATTCATGGGCAAGACAGACAGTGGGGAAATTGTTTCAATTGAAGAGTACATTGACAGTGATTTTATTAAGTACATAAACAATAACGGTCAAGTATGTGAAAAGGGTACAGTTTGTGACAAGGCACAGGCCTTTGTCCACTTTACTTATGAGAAATCTGAGGGTAAGCTTATTGTTCTTGACATTCAGGGTGCTGGGTACACATTGTATGACCCAGAAATTGCATCATTGGATTTGCTAACTGAGGATGGTACATACCAGTTCTGTCCTGGGAATTTGTCTGAAATAGCCATCAAGAAATTTTTTGAGAAACACCAGTGCAAGAAATATTGCAAACTTTTAGGACTTAAGTTAGTACCATCAGAGGTTAAAATAACATGGAAGGATATATGAAGGACAACTATGTACACGAAACATGAATATATGAAGGATAAGTTATTAACTGTTACTGTTGTTGTCTAACATTGATTTAATTTTTGAAATTGTAATCTTGCTTTTAGTACTTATTTACTCTGAGTGTACAGCCAACTCTGATTTTCACATTACCTCCTGTTATTACCATGTTAAGTTATTGACTTTAATGTTGCTGATAAGAAAATGAGAGGGTTATTCTGAACAAAAGTTTTCTAATAATTTGAATAGTGTTTCAGTTTTATATTAAATAAGAAATTTGACTGGATTATTGCTTATTTCAAAATGAGAGACATATTTGGAACAAGGGTTCTATAAAAGTAGGTGATATGTTATATACATCAAAATTGTTAAAGTTGTTGCATTCCACAATAGTTTTCAGAAATTTACTAATAAACCATATGGATAACATGTTCCAATTTAATTACACTGAAAGTGTGAAGTTCTGTTTTAAATATATATATATATAT